TAAATCAACTAAGTTAAGCTCATACGAACTCACAGAGACTGAAGCAATATGTGCAACTGTGGCTTGCATGGGTCTGCACCAGGTCTTCTGCATATATAGTATAGCTTCCAGTTGAGTGTTTTTATGCAATTCCTGATTAAGGGAACAAATGGGTCTTTTATTCTTGTGACTTCTCTTGGGCTTCTTTCCTGCTGTTTGTTTGCCTCCTGGGATGGTTTATACTTTTATCTTATATTTTATTTTGTTACATTTGGCTGTTATCTCTTAGAAGTCCATTATTTTCCGGAACAGAAAGAAATGGAAGAGTGTTGGGTAGAAACTGGGAGGAGCAGAGGCAGGGGAAACTAATAAAGAAGGGAAAGGAGCATACATTTGAAAAGAATCACTAATGTCCCTTCCCTTAAAAGTTATCAGTGAGCTTCCCATTGGATGGAAACATATCTGGAAGATGTCATACTCAAGAGTGGAAAGAAGATTGAAGATTTAGTCTCCAAATTCCCTGCAATACTATTTAAGTGTTGTCCCACTGATGTTTCTTCCTCAAGGATTCCAATGTAGTCTATAATTGAGCAAGTTTCTTCTGTAGTAAGAGGAAGTTAAGTGTTAAAGTAGTACAGAATATGTTTTAAAACTTTTTTTCTGTAAATAAGGTGTCTTTAGAACAGAGCCATTCCATTTTTATGTAATGTCTTTGGTATGGCTACTTTTAATATATTGTTACAGATTTGACTAAATGACTGATGAAGCTGAAAAATGCATTTGGCTCTTTACAATAAGTGTTGACTATTTAGTAACACAACTGAAATTAGAATTTAGCATATCTTTGGGGTGGGTTGAGAAAGACTCACAGAGATCTGCCTGGCTCTGCCTCCCATGGATGTCAACACACTCATCTATAATGTAAACTATTTTACTTCTGATACTGCTATACTTTCAGAATTGCACTTGAGTTACACTACCACTAAAATTAATTACATCAAGAGTTGTTTTATGAGTATTTAATCAACAAGAAATCTCTATCAACTGTCATTTTCATAGCTCTTGTCTTGAAAAAGTTATATTAATTTCCCTCATGTGGAACACTCATACTAAGAATATTTTCTTTGTGATGTATTTTGAAAATGCTAAGTGGGGTTCTGTAGAACACGAATGTTCTGAGGCCCAGCAGCTTGTGGATAAGAAACAATTCACAGTGACATTTAGCACCAGATTTGCTGCCTCTTTGCTACCATCTGCATACAGACCTTCAGACCAATGCTAAGTCCTTTCTGGCTAAAAATGTCCCTTGCCTTCTCTAGAGAATTTTCATCCAACCATTGATATTTATCAGATAACAGTCTGCTAGGGACACAGAGGTGCTCTGATGGATAAGTATTGCCTGGATGTGCTTTCCACCTCCCTGAACTTCTAAGCTACAAAGTCCCTTGTCAGAAAAGACACAGACGGAAAATGCTGAAATTATAAAGAAGTTCCTTTGGCAGTCACAGCACTGGATTTCACTGGTACTCCCAATCACTTGCATAAAGCAGTAGGTGGAAAGATAAACTTTCCCAAGCAATTGAGGCCTGGAATAGCATCGTTCAAACTGAATTCCTAAAATAAACAGAATTGTTCTCACCCTTAAACCGTTTAGAGATACAACTTTCACCTCAAATTTACTGTATCAGAAACTCTAAGGTAGAAGGCTCATATCTCCACTTTAGTAAGTAGTTGATGTTTTCTTTTTATATGGTGAAATTTGAAAACCACTGATTTAAGATCACTGGGTGAAAAACATTTGTTTCTTTTGTTGGTACCCCAATGTGATACTTTTTATATAAAGATTGCTACCATTAAGTCTCCTGCCCAAGCATGATTGTTAACAATGTAACTCTTTAAGGGGTAATCATGACCTACCCCTAATCTGGACTGAGTTTGAAAGTTACTTTGACAAAGAGAGAACAGTGGAAGTAACATATTAATGGCAAAGTCTAACCATCATGCAATCTTAAAGCTTCCATTTTCTCCATCTTAGAGGAAGACTGTCTTGAGAGCATCAGAGAATGCCTACCAGATGTATGACTAACAAACAATGCAGGGCTATATAAAGGAGTGAGGATCTCTAGCAAACAGCCACCTCTCAGACATTTAAGGAGACTATTTAGACTTTCTAGTTTATGAGAGGCCAAATTACATTCGGATAGATTAGACTAGGTGAGATGATAACAATAACCACCCAGATATCACAGTACAAAATGGAAACTCACAGAATCAAAATCAAGCAAGTAATAATTGCTTTAGACCACTAAGTTTGAGGCTATTTTATGCAATAATAGGTAACTGAAACACCCAGACATTTAGGATCACCAAAACATATCAAACATTTGTTGAGAGTATGCCCACTTATCTTGTGAATTTGAACAATTTTTACAGCTCAAACCAGACCAATGCATCATATTATATAATGAAAGTAAACAGCTACAGGGAAGCTTGCTTTAGTGTTTTCAAAAGACTACTTTGAAAAAATCAAATCAATTCAAATCAAAAGCCAATTTGAACCCCAATCTCCACACATGTAAAAGAAAAATATTCAGCCAGATGACAATTTTAATGATTATTCTGGGCTCAGCATTCTAGGCTGCTAAGAAACTCAGAGAAATCTGATTTCGAGATATAGCAATACAGATTGCTGTTATCCCCTAGAAATCTAAGAAATTAAATTAGCATTAACTAGTTGCTTGCTGCCTTTATCTAGAATTTTCATTGTGTTGTGGGATAAAAAAATAGTGTAAGACACAGTAATGAAACAAAACACCAATCGATGTAATTGGATTAGAATCCTATCTCTCTTGTTTTGAAGCTGTGTGGCCTTAATCTAGTAATATTCCTTCTATGTCTTGGGTTTTTTGCTTTTAAAAAGTTTTAAATAATCATATTTACTTTACAATTATTTTGAGGATAAAAGCCTAAGTGTTCCGAAGGAAGGTATACATGCAAAAGGCAGGCTTTGGGAAACCATCATGGTAAACTGTAAATCCCATTGTATTACAAAATAGTCTAGGGAATAATAATCATATACTCAAATCATATTATAAATTAGTTATTTTTAAATAGTACAGTTTAGATTAAATTACTATGTGTCACATAGCCAAAATATAAATAATTCTTAATTCTAATGCTTAAACTATTACATGAGAAAAACCGTCTTGGAATAAAAGCAGATTCTGATATGCTGTTGATACTTTGCACTCAATATTTGTGTTTTCAATAGGCTGACTTTATGCCGATTTTTGGTCCATTTTCTGGAGGAGATAAAATCTCCTTTTTGAGAAAATTCCTCTCTCATTTTTCCAAATGTGGCCCTAGTACTGCCAACTCTCTCCAGTGGCTTAGCGCTGAAGATAAGGTCAGAATCCCCACTAGTAGCAATATAGCAGGAATGGTGGGGAAAAAAAGGAGCCATATAGTGATGAAGTTCTCACTGAGGGGCAAATAAGTGAAGCAGATGCCTGATAATACTGTCTTCCTTCACTGCTCTTTCTTGTTCTTTGTGTAGCCTCTGATGTCAGCTCAATATCATTTGTGATTACCACACTACTCCCACTCTAGTATCTTCCTCAGTGTGACAGCTGTGACTTTTTATACCGTCTATCATAATTTTTGTCCATACACAGACAATGCTCACTGTCTTGCATCACCTTTCTGATGTGTTCAGGCCAGAATAGCTTGCCTAGCTATACTTCAGACAATAATGCCCTCATCCCAACTCACTTTCCCATTTTTTTCCCTTTTCACTGTCCAGTGTGCTGGAATCACCTGGAGAGTCCAATAAAATGTATGCAACTTTGAAAGGGCTAGGGCTTGACTTTCTGCCTTTCTGTCCTAAGCCACTTGGCATTAATCTGTAGACTTTACCTCACTTATAATTGAGATAATGCTTTTTTCTTTTCATTGGCATATCATTTTCTCTTCCAATTTGACTGTGCTTCATAAATGAGAGACTTATGATGAATTCTCAGCACTTAGTCTGATGTCTAACACACAGATGTTGCTCCCTATATGTTGACTAAATAGATTAATTACATATGTTCTTATAAACCAAAACTTTTAATGCATTTTCAGTTAGAAACAGCATAATACCATTTAGGAACATAGCACGCTAAATACTTTTTGTTCACTGGCTTTTATCATTGGTGTAATGTTCACAGTACCTTACATGTAAATATAAACCCTTAACTTCCACATTCCAAAAATTTATGAAATATCATTGGAACATAAAATCTTCACAGCATTACAGACTGAGATTGAACATTCCAATGACACCTAGAGAACAAACACCAATAAAGGATTGTATATGGACAGCTGTGAATTTGTGCAGAGAGAACCAAAAATTTGAGCTCATAAATGGAAATAAAACTGACATAATTTATTCACTAGAATCTTGATATAGCAATTTCAGTGCACCATGTTGACGAAAAGAAAACCAAACAAACACAAAAAATCCCACAATACTTGCACATCTTTTTTCAAGTCTCAGTTGTCATTACACGTTCACCTTGATGTTTGTTCTTAGATGCTGGAGATATGGTGATTTGTTGAGTTTCCTTACTAAGAACCACCTTCAGCTTTAGTTAAAAAACAACTACCAATCGCCTGCTGCTTCTAATGAAGCAGAAATACAAGGAAAGGCCTTCTACTGATGATTTAGTATGGCTCCACAAAGCCAGGCAGCTTTAATGCTCTTAAAGAACAAGCTAAAGTATCTGTTTAAGACATTATGGCTTCTCCTCACCTGCTCTTTTCTTTTCCTTGAAGTTGGATCATCAGAAAATATAGATTGTAAACCTCCCATTGTCCAGAGAAACCACCTAAAAGCATTTTGCATATTAAATAACATAAATGTTTACTCCTTTCTACAGAATCAGAAACCAATTTTCCTTTCATTCAGAGATAGCCTTATAGCCATGTTTTTCACCAAAAAGCTAAAGTGAAAGTGAACACCTGAGACACAATGTACTTACAGGCTCCAACAGTGGTCAGTCCCGGGACACGATCAGGTTGCTTTGTCCTCAGCTCCCGAAGTAAATGGTTTACAGCCTCCCACTCAGACCTCAGATCTTCTAACTTCCTCTTTAATAGAAAAAGCATATGTTACTGATCTTACCATCACTTCCAGTATAACTTAACTCATTGGGTTGTTAATTAATTTTGTGAGTGTACTCTTTATGGACTTTTGCTTTTGATATAAAATTTTAAAAGGTGTTAGAAAATGGTTCAGTGATAAAAAATGTGTGTGCTATGCAAAGATTAGGAGTTTGGTTACCCTGGCTATGTTTTAAAAAGTTGTGGCAGCTTATATCTGTGATCCTGGATGCTCTGTGAATTGATAAGTGTATTCCCTAAGCTCCTTGGCCAGTCATTCTAGCCAATCCATAAGCTTCAGGCTCATTGAATGATCTTTTCCCCCAAAATATGGTGGAGAAGTGACCAAGAAGACAGCCAATACTGACCTTTGGCTTCCACATGTTAATGTGAGCATCCACATGTGAGTAGGTACACATACATAAACACATGAAAATATAAATGGACCATAATTCTAAACTCTTTGAAATTAAAATTTTAAAATTTTAAATTCTTGTCTTGTGAGAATGGTTGACATGCAAAAACTATGACTGTATATACACAGATGTGCATGTGGAGACTGCAACTGCATCATTTCATCCTGTCTCCTTGTATAAATCCATCTATGGGAAGGCTAAATTAAAATCTCAAACATGCTGCTTAGCAGTTAGAAACTGAGCAAGCCTAAATTGATACTCTCTACTCAAGTATTTCCTCAGAAGTAATTAAGCTCATATTTGAGCCTTCATTATTGCTTCTGTTTCAATTGATTGTTTTGAATAGCAAGTGAATTTGGGTGATATGCTCAAATAATCATAAGGAGGTATGCTGGGGAGGCTTCTAGATGAGTATAAGAGATTTTGGTTAAACAGAGACAGTTGATAGACAATTAGCAATTATTCCTAGTATATAACCAGTGGTAAAAGTGACTGTCAAAAATTCATTTGAAAGATTAAAATAATTGTACTATTCTTACCAAAAATATTTTAAAATGGAAACAACAGCTTTTCTAATATATTGTACACAGGTACTGATGCTTGGGAATAAAGCTTTCAGTAATAGCTTTGAGAATGTGGAAAATAATTTTGTTTGTAACTGGCAGCCACCTAGGCCATGATGATTAGAGTTGAACAGGCAGACAGTAAAATAAACAATCAAAAAGCAGAGAAATCAAGCTAGGTAGAGACAAGGACACCCCATAACCAGATTTAAAACAATGCAGAGAGAGACAAGTCAAGGCCTCTCTGCCATCACAGAAACGACTAATATGTATTATTGCTTCTTAAACAATGATACCATTTAGCCCTACTTAATCCTTAATTCTTCTCGAAGACTACATTAACTTTAACAATCAATTTGACTGCCACTTAATAGCATCTAATTTGAACATGGCTTCCACTTTGCTCATCCTTCTTAAAATTAAAAGTTTTCTGATAAAGATAACATATGGTCTTTTTGAAGTGTTTTCTCCTCTATTAATAAGGTGTGTTACCTGTAGTCTTCATTTGGAAGGTTTTTTGTTTTACATGTCCAGGGGTGGAACCTAGCTTATGTTCTTATTAAGTAAGTGTTATACCACTCAGCTATGCTTTCACCTGGGTATTACGGGATAATCTTTTTGCACACCATAGATGTGTCTGTTTTAACTCATCTGCCTCTAATTGGTTTAGCTAGGCAAGAGAGGATAGGCAGGGCTTCCAGGAAAAGAGAGAAATGTAGGGCAAGAATCTGAGAGATAGATATTTGTCAGCAAGATGCAGGGGAGGTCAGATTTACACTATGGCTAGGTAGCAAGCCATGTGGCTAAATGTAGATTAATATAAAGGAGTTAAGTTTTAAGAGCTTATTGGGAACAAGCCTAAGCCAAAGTCAAGCTTTCACACCGAATAATAAGTCTCTGGGTCAATATTTTGCAGCTGCAGGTCCAAAGAATGCCCAACTATAGTTGGTGTCCAATGTGGAGACCCATATCACCAAGCATAAGGCCTATAAGTGGCTGGCACACTGTCTGGTGGTAGAGTAGGTGGAAATGCCTGCCAGAGGATGGTGCAGCAACTTCCTAGATATGGGCAGTTAATACAGCTCCTGGCCTGTGCTCTTACAGACCCAAGGGAGGTGGGGACAGCTGCCAAAACCATGTGCTAAGCAGGGGCACAAAAGGAGTCTGCACATGCAGACAAGGACTTCTCAGCAATTTTCTGAGCCACAGGATGCAGAAAGCCTGGTCCACACTGAAAAAAAAATATCTAAATAGGTACAGTATTCTTAAAAATGTGCTTATGTGATGAAGATAGAAAAGAAAATCAGTATAGACACTCATAGAAAAATAGCTTAAAAGTAACAAAGTAAAGTCTTTTTTTCGAGACAGGGTTTCTCTGTATTGCTTTTGAGGCTGTCCTGGAACTCGCTCTGTAGACCAGGCTAGCCTTGAGCTCATAGAGATCCGCCTGCCTCTGCCTCCTGAGTGCTGGGATTAAAGGTGTACACAACCAACACCTGGCTAAACTGAAGTCTTTAGAGAAAAAAATAATATGGAAAAATAAGCCATATAAGGATAGGAACACAAGGCATTTGGATTCTATACAATGTTTTATTAACATTAATTTTTAAAATGCTAATGAGCAAAAATGAACAGCTACTGATAGACATTGGATTGTCGGGGGGAAAAGCTACATTAAATCAGCCTATATATTTTAAAAATGTCTTAACTTCAGAAGTGAAGTCAGGAAATGTATTGCATTTGACAGAGGTTATGCCTTTGTTGCCATAGGAAACAAAAATCTATGGATTCCTTTGAAATTAATGAAGATCAGATTTGACCAGTGGGTGCTTCTTGAAAATCTTGATTGCAGACATGAAGGAAGAAACCAAGAAAATCTACAAGAGCGGCGACATATATGCAGATCCCTTGACATGGGAACAGCTCTGAGAATAGATGAGATAGAAATCTTTTTGCCTATAGAGTCCTCATGACTTATTATTGTATGCCATACTTTCACATAGCATGGGTGGAGGTTTGGTTTTACAGAACAGGTGTCATAGATGCTGGTCCCATGACATGGGAATAGGTCTGAGACTGTATGAGACATGATAAATCTTGTCTACAGAGTCTTCATGACTTATTATTTAGTGCTGTCCTTTCAGATGGCATGGATGGAAATTTATATTACAATTTGATTATGTAGTCCAAAGAGACTTATGAAGTTGACAGATGACTTTTGCCTGCTCAAACACAGAACAAAAATCATCTTTTACTAATTAGTGTACACCTCACAGTGCATACTTGTATTAATGCAGCTATGTATGTTACCTTTAAAAGTCCATGTGTTTTCAGAAAAAAAAGGACCAGCTACCAATGAAGACAAGTAGCCTAGGTGACGCAACCTCTCAGAATGCCTCTGTTGTAGTTTCCATAAAAATCCACAACCAGAACAACTTCGAAGCTGTTAAATGAGATGAACCAGCTTCATAGACTACTTCAGCCAGAACTTCAGTTAAGCCCTGGACTTTCCCATCACACAGAGTTTGGACAACAAATGATAGAGTTTGCTTTCCCAGGACTTGAATATCATTCCAAATTTCTCAGGATCCCCCAATGATGCCATCACCCCCAGACAACAGGAAGTAATTTTAAGAACACTATGTTCCCCTTACCAAGAGGTGGGATACATGTTTTTGGTCATTTGGTGCATTGTGGATGTTTGTCATCATTTAGAGAGATTACTTGCAAGTTGTTATTGGTTGTGGTCAGGGAGGAAACTAAACAAAGTCTGGATTAAGGGATTTGTTTCTTTCCTCTATCCTTTCTCTCCTATCTAGTGAAAAAAAACATGGGTATATAAGAATGAAAGGATAAATGGGTAGATAATTGGATATTCTTTTAAACAAATGAAACGAACCAACTACTGGTCTCAAATATTATACATTGGTATGGATTTTTGTATATTGATTCACATTTAAGGTTACTTTTGTTATAACATTCTGTATATGTTTCTACTCTTAGGGTAATATACGTAAGCAGCTCATTGATGATGTAATGGAAAGTTCTAGTCCTTGAAAGATATTATTATAATCTATTTAGGATAATTAAGAAATTCGGGTTAGCAGTTAGTCATCTATGACAAACAAACATGTAGTCAAGTTAGGTATGTTTTAAAGGTTCAACTAAGATATAGTCAGGATAGATAGGTGATCTTCAAACACTTCAGAGATCTAGAGGATACGGCATTTAAAATGTTTTAATCACATAAGTTTTTTCATGACAGTAAGATATGTCTTTTCCTGGCAGCACTGATTCACTTCAGCGAAGATGATAGGTACCAAAGAAACTCCATGTGGAGTTTGCTTTCAAAGTGACAAAACTAGCCATTTGAGAAAGAAACTGCTCTTGTTTTGACTGCTGACAGTATGCTGTTCAAATTGGACAAAAAGGGCACAAAGGAAGTAAACTGCCAAATTTGTCAAGACAAGATAGACCAGTCCTTCAAAATTTCTGCTTTACAAAAAAGTGTCAGATTTTCTCAAAGACTGATGCCCTGCAATTGCAGAGGAACCTTTGGTAACTGTTCAGGCAGCCAGCTGTCTCTGTCATTTCTTTAGTTTTGGAGGTCATTTCTTCTTCATTTCCTGTTTACCCAGGTAATATTTTATACTTCTCAGATCTCTGATGGGGTTGAAGAATAGATAATTATAGTTTTGCAGATCTCCTTGTTACCAAATTCAGAAAAGAAACTTACAAAAGTGATATAAAGTTTATAAAAGTTGAGAAACATAAAAGCTTAAGTTGTTTATCAAGTGTTTTAAGTCTAAAATGGTATTTTTAGGTTGGTGATACAAGTTATAATAGAAAGTAATTTAGGTATAAAACTTAAGACTCACCAAGATAGGATAGATAACAGAATATTTTCTCTAAATTGGCCAAATACAAATGGACTGAACATAATTGCTCTTATTGTATATAGTTTTACTGTGTTAGAGTTAAAACATTTCCTTTTTATTTGGACAAAAAG